GATAGCACGCTGGTAAATGCCAGGCTCGCTCAAAAAGCTACGAGGCTTCCCGTTTCTATGTCCCCGGGTTTATTCTAAGCAAAACACGTTGAAGCGGGTCTCCGCCGTCCGTGGATGGCTGCAGATACGTTCTCTCAGTAAGGTACTTGTCTTAGTCTCCGTAGGATGCTTCCACGAAGACAGATCTTCTCCAAGCAAGGGCTTCCACCGGGATCCGCTGGGCCCGTTAAATTCAAGGCAGCGAGGTCAGCTCAGAAGGTGATAGTGGGTGGGGATGGGGGGGGGACTTGAAAGGGGTCATCCACTTGACAGATTGATCATGGGGCTTATGATGAAGCATTAAGAAAATGGAAACCTGAATTGCTGGGGTAGTGGTTAGGAAAGTTGTTCTGAGAACAACCCCGCACCCACCACCTTTCCCCCATGACAACAATGACCTGCGGATTCTTTTAAGCTAGGAGTGGCTCTTCCCCGAGAATTTCATTGGGAAACCTTACCCATCCACCGGCCAGGCCTGGGCTGGCTCCTTTAGGCTTCTTCTTGTTTCCCAAACACAAAGAACATGGAGAAGGAACATGCACCGGTCCCTCGGAGAGGCCCAAACTGCCAGGTTGATGCGCTGTAAGCTGCAGGCTGGAGGATTTCCTGAGGATGTGTTGTTGTTCGATGCCATCGAGTCCGTTCCAACTCACGGCGACCCTGCGCACCACAGAGCAAAGCACGGTTCCCACCTGCACCGGCCTCACACGTCTTCCTCTGCTTGAGCCCTGGTGACAGAGGACCCGTTACCGACGTGCAAGCGCACCTCTCAGAGGTGTATCGACCTAGATGGAGGATAGGTTGAAAAACAGTAGCTTCGCACGCCGATGTTTTTGTTTAGTAAAAGCGCCTATGATTTCATAGCAGCACGTTGTGATTTGTGCTCCTACTCTAAGGCAGTGTGGTTCTCAACCTTCCTAATGCTGGGACCCTTTAACAGTTCCTCAGGTTGTGGCGACCCCAATCATCAAATTATTTTCGTTGCTACTAATTTTGCTACTGTTAGGAATCTGGCGACCCCTGTGAAAGGGTCGTTTGCTTCCCAAAGGGGTCACGACCCACAGGTTGAGAACCACTGCTCTAAGGAACCAATTTTAGAATTCCGTTAAAGAATCAGAATGAACAGAATAGATGTGTGGTCAGAACTGAGATTTTAAGGAAGAAGCAAATTATGTTAATATGTATATACTGTACAGATTTTCAGGGGTTATAAGTTTGGTAGAAAAATAAGTGTCGTATGCTCAGACTAAGTGATCACTCAGTCTGTCTGCTCCTGAGGGAAAAGTTACACTTTCATAATCATCCAATTATTGTTAAATCGTAAGGCAAAAATTTAAAACTGCCAACTTTTCCTTAAAAGGGGCAATAGGATGTGAAGTTAAAACTTGGCTAAACAAAGCTTAGTAACTTGGAGACGAAGTGAAACCAGTATGTGCCATATCAGCTCTATTTTATACAAGTCAAGGCGTTCAAAGTCCTGGTTCCTCTTTGGTTACGTGTGGGCAGTTATTTCCCTCAATGAACTCTTTAACTCATGTAGAGCATTTACATTCTGCCCAAAGAACATACGTTGGACCCTGTCCTTTGTGAATCTCTATGCACTTAGACAAGAATACAGATTTGTCCCATATGCCTAATTGATTCCTTAGCTGTTTGCTTTCAGAACGTGATATTTACATGATTAAATTTCGCTTCTTTCAGAGTAAAACCGGAGCTCTGGAAGGCCCCGAGGTGGACGGGTTCGTCAAAGACATGATGGAACTGGTCAAGGTGATTTCGCGAGTCAGCCCACCGGAAGTGAGGTTGCCGGGCAGATGGAGTTCCTTGTTTATTTTTGAGAATCGGTGGTGGCGAAGATTAATGCCAGAGAGCAAACCTGGGGCCATCGTCGATTTTAGAACCGCTGAGCTTCCAGGAAACCCAGTATAGCTCCCTTTTCTCTTCAAATCATTCGCCATTTAGCTTCCATGACACCCATCATGATTTAAACCGCCCCCTGTGTAATCCAAGAATGGCAGGGCCGTGGTCTCTCTGCTTTACTTTCAGACCTGACTACCGCTACAACGGATACAATTTAGATCGCAGCTCCATCAAAGAGCTGTCTGAAGTAGAGAAATCAAAGCTGAACCGGTTACCGTGATGCAGTTCTGCCTCACAGCAACCCCCTGAGTCAGGGTAGATCTGCTCCACGGGGGTTCCATGTGCGTAATCTTCAACGAAGGAGTCCTGGTGGCCGCCTTGCACTAACTGCAAGGTTGGCAATTCAAACCTACTAGCCACTCCTTGGGAGAAAGATGAGGCTGCCTGTTCCTGTAAAGATTTTCAGCCTGGGAAACCATATATTGGGTCACTATGAGTTGAAATACACCAGTGATAGTGGGTTTAAAAAACAAAAGACTTTAGGGAAGAGAATCATGAGGCTGCCGGGTGGGTTATGAACCTTTTAGTGGAAGAGGCAAGTAAGAACCATTTGTAGGGCAGGAGTAGACAGTGTTTCAGACAGAGATCCTGGTGCACTGGATCACAGATAAGCAGTTAATTTCTAACTCCTTCTTCACTACTATGGGACCAAGTCCCATAGTATAATATATAAAAAATACTATAGTATACTATATTTAGCATATGAGATATACTCTATACAGTATACTATATATGCTATACTATATATACTATATAGTATACTATAGTCTCACATCCTTAGGGATGCTTTTGAGGTTGGTTTGCGGCACCATGCTCATGACCTCATGGGCCCAGATGTCCACTTAGAGCAGTAATTCGCAGGACTCCATCCAATAGCTGATGAGTAAAACTGTCGGAGGCTTGCAGCTGAGAAAAGGCCCAGACACCCGTTTTGACATGCGTCTCGGGAGGGAGTGTGCACGCGGGATTGCACGGGCATGGATGATTTTGCCCCTCCTCTGGCTTCTCGGGAAGATGGCCTCCATGTCTTCGTAGACTCCTAACTGTTGTCATCCACCACCACCCTCTCCCCGCTTCACACACCCCGCTTGTGTTGGAGCCTTTACGGGCGCCGGCACAGCCAACCCCACTGACGGGTGTGGACGTGCTGTGGCCTTTTGCACTGATGGCCGCGGGAAAGGGCCTGTTTTGCTCATTATCTACTTATTGCCAGAGGAACTTGCGTCATCAAAGCTGAGCAGTTATCCAGGGGACAGTCCAGCTGCACAGCTGATGGGCTTGCTAAGCTGGCGTCTCAATTTCTCCTTGATGAAGCCAATGGGGGCTTGGAGTTCCAGGGCTGTGGTAAGAGAAGCCCGGCAAGCGGGGAGCTTTAAAGAAGCGATGTCGATTTTCTCACAATTCATGAGCCCAAGAGTCAGGCTCACCACTTGCTCTAGCGGGGAGTCCTTCTCCATTTCAGCCTCTCGTGGCTTGCAATCCTTGCGTTCCTGGGCTTGTGGATTCCTCTGCCTCCCTAGGCATCGGGTAAGGGTGTCTGCCTCAGACTCGCTGGCTTGTCTCTGTGTCTGTGTGGCTTTTTCTATGTCTAGCAGATGATGCGTCCCTGTACGGCATGCCCTGACTTGCAGAACAAAGAAAACCCACAGGCACGTACGTGACATATACAGTGAACCCTGGTTTATCGCGGTTAATCGGTTCTAGACCCTACTGTGATAAATGAAATTCCGCGAAGTAGGATTCCTTATTTGTAAATCAAATATTTTCATAGTTAGAGCATAGAGGACATGAAAAAACACCCTTTAGTCACCATTACCCTCGTATTACCCAATTTATTAAACGAAAAAGGGAAAATACAGTAAAACATTTTGGACATTACAATTATCATTTATTTATTATATTATTTATGGCATCTAGTTTACAGTATTACGTATTTCACATACAGTATTATTATACATAGTTCTTACAAATACTGTAATCAATAGCCTATGAAATGACTTAAGGGATGTACTCTACAGGTGGGTCGCCGTCTTTTTCCTCTGAAGGAGCGGGTGTAGGCAGTGGGTGCTGTTACGCAAAAACCGCGATAGAGTGAAGCCGCGGAAGTCGAAGCGCGAAGTGGCGAGGGTTCACTGTATTTTGGGAAGACATAATTCATCCCTTAACATTCTGATCTTTATCCACCCTCTACCCCCCGCCCCCAAATTCATATTGCTTCCACATGTAGCACACTCACCCTATTGCAAAGGGTGAGTGCTTTTCAAAACGTGTGGCCCCTCTGTAGCAAGGAGCTCGGGACCACTGTCTACCTGAGTGTCATACCTGGTATTCCAGAAACGTCCGGGTCCCCAGCCAGAGGGCCTAGCCTCCTGCTCCCCATGCACCAGCAGAGCAGCCAAGGCATGCAAGCAATTAACACCAAAGATACCTGCCCCCTTCCTTCTTTGCTATCACCTTAGGGGTCCCTGAGTGGCGCAAATCATTGAGGGCTCTAACCGGGAAGATTACAGGTTTGAGTCCAGTGGTGAGATTCAAATAATTTAACAACTGGTTTGCTGCCTTAATGGGCATTTTAAGTATTAAAAAAGATATACTAGAAGGTAGTTTATTACTTCCTACAGTTAATACTTAAATAAGAGCAATAAAAGAGGCACACAAAGCTAGATTCTATTATAAGAAATTTAACAATATTCATGAAAAAGTATTAAATAATATGTGATAAAAAGCAATACAACTGTTAAAGATATTTCCATATCGCATTTCTCCTGCTGTTTTGTTTTTTGCTTTTACTCTTTTTTATTGGGAGGCTCTTCCAGCTCTTACCAAAATCCATCCATCCATCCATTGTGTCAAGCACATTTGTACATATGTTTTTTTGTTTTGTTTTATTTTTTTTCATTTGTACATATGTTGCCATCATCGTTTTCAAAACATTTTCTTTCTACTTGAGCCCTTGGTATCAGCTCATTTTCCCACCCTCCCCCACTCTCCCTCCCTCATGATCCCTTGATAATTTAGAAATTATTTTTTTCCTTGTCTCACTTCACCCACTTTTCTGATGTCCATCCTCCTGGGGTGGGTGGGTTATATGTCAATCGTTGTGATCAGTTTTCTCTCTTCCCTCCCCCCACCACCTCACCCTTACTATTCCTGGTATCACTACTTTCATTATTGGTCCTGAGGGCTTTGTCTGTCCTGGGTTCCCTACCAATGCACATGCTTTGATCTAGCTGGATTTGAGCCCCTAGAAGGATAGTCTTTATTTTGTTAGAACAAAGCTACTCTAACCTGTAGCCCACGTTTTGGAGCCTATGAATAATTAGTGCTCAGGAGGAAATTTCCTAAGCGGAATCAGCAGCTCATTGTATGGCTGAGCTATATTAGTGGATAACCCTGCCTGAAATAATAACGTGAAAAACCCAGTGCCCCAGAGAGCTTCCACGAGCTGGGCATGCTTCTTAACAGAAATGAACTTACGGATAGCTAGGCTGCTGTGAGGCAGACATTAACCTACATCCCCTCCTCCCCCCACAGAACTCAAAGTTTTAAATGTTTGATTTCACTTTCTGGTTCTAAAATCTTCTCTGCATATTGTATAAAATGGAAAAACATGGAAATAGGTCAAAAGCAAATGAAAACTCAGGCTATGGTTCGGACCATCTTGGGTCCTAGTTCTGGCTGTACCACAAAAAGCTCTGGGACCTTGGCAAGATATTTAGCTTCTCCAAACCTGTTTCCTGTGGGAAGAACCACAGATCCCAACTCCATTAAGGCTGCCGTGCAGGCTCTAGAAGGACGGTCAACGCGAGTAGCCATTGTTATTAGTTGCCGTTGAGTCTGCTCGGACACACACTACCCTCACCCACAACAGAAGGGCACATCGCCTGGTCCTGAGCCACCCTGACCGTCATGGCCACTGTGTGTGTGGACTGCCTTCAAGTCAGGGGGCTTCCCTTCCAGCAGTCTATTGGACCATACTCTGTTGTGGTCCACAGGGGTTTGATTGATTACTTTTCAGAATTAGATAGCCAGGCCTTTCTTCCTGGGTTGTCTTAGTCTGAAACTACTGAAACCCACTCAACGGCATAACATAACTGTTGGTGTATTACCATTGAGAACTCAAATCAATATTAGTTGTTCTCATGATTATATCACAAATCTATGTAGAAATCAATCTAGCTCTCCTAACTCTCATCACTCTGAGCTTCATTAGTTCCACATCATCGTCTAAGGCAGCCAGTGTAATTTTACTGGATTCCTCCTTTAAAATCATTTCTTTTGAATCTCGATAACCTAATTAACTTTCAATGGTTGTACCTCTCAGTTGTCCCTGAATTTGGCAATGGATTTCAAAGTTCAATGGAAGAACACACACACATACACACACACACACACACACACACACACACACACACACACACACCTCCCAGCAAGTCAATTCTGACTAATAGTGACCCTAGAGGACAGTAGACCTGCCCCTGTGGGTTTCTGAGACCGTAACTCTTTACAGGAATAGGAAGCCTCGTCTTTTTCCTGGAGAGCGGCTGGTGGTTGTGAACTGCTGACCTTGTAGTTAGCAGCCCAACACATAACCACTATGGTCCCCAGGGCTCCTCAATGGGAGAAGATGGAGGTAAAATTCAAGCCAGCAACATGGTAGATGAGGTATTTTTTCCCCCAGAGAAAATTGAAGAGAAGGGTACATTTTTAGACCTGATATCAGTTGATTCTAGCTCTAGTCCACAGATTTGTCAGAAGCAACCCTCAGTTTCACTCTTTGATGGGCTCAAATCAACTCCATTAGAAACCTGCCACTTTAGAGTTTGCCCTTCCATTTTTGTGAGGCTGCC